AAGCTGGTTTTTTATGCAAGTTATGATGGACTGATGCTCAAATGAGTAATTATTACTTGAGTGGAAAATGCTTCAATGAATGGACAACATTCAGTGAATGTCTTTCTATTAGGCCACCATCATGTAAATTTTTCATGTAGATTCAGGATTCAAGATTTCAACCTTATGTTTCCTCCGGGTTTCGCCATGCCATTTTTAGTCAGTTATATCGTCTGTCACATCCTGGCATCAATGCTTCGAGAAAACTGATACAGCAACGTTTCGTATGGCCTAGCATGCACATGGCCAACTGGATACGTTCGTGCTTGGAGTGCCAAAGATCTGAAATTGTCAGACACACCACCAGCCAACTTAAAAATTTTAATTTGCCCTCATCTCGCTTCAATCACGTGCACCTCGAAATGGTCGGGCCATTGATATTTCAGCTGATACAGTGGCAAAGGCATTTTACACCGTTTGGATTTTTCGATTTGGAGTTCCGGAGCAGATTTCTATTGACCACGGGCGTCAATTCGAGTCTCAACTCTTCATGTCACTAAGTAAGTATTTGGGCACTTACAAAGTGAGAACCGGCCCCTACATTCCAAATTCCAATGGAATTGTCGAGATATTTCATCGCTCCTTAAAACAATCAATTCGATGCCACACTGCATTACAGTGGACTGATGTGTTACCTACTGTACTTCTAGGTCTTCGATCAGCGTTAAGAGGATCTGAATGCCTCTTCTGCCGAACTAGTATATGGTACTAATCTCCGTTTGCTTGGGGATTTCGTACATTCAATCAATCCATCTACCTGCATCGTAGATAGATTCTGTTACATTCGTGCATCAGCTTAGAAACTGCATGTCAAAATTGCGACCAGTTCCTGCCAGCGCTCATCGGAAACAAACTGTGTTCGTGCATAAAAGAACTTAGAAACTCATCTCAGATGTGATGCTTCAAAGCCTTCTCTCGCACCACAATTTTCAGGGCCACATTAAGTGCTAGCTCGAAACGAAAAAAAACTTTTAAAATTTTGGTCAACGTAAAAGAAGTCGTCGTTAGTATCGACCATCTTAAACCGGCGTTTATCTGGACACCTGAAGCCACTGGTGCGAATGCGTCTTCACCATCGCAAATTCCATCTCAAGATCCACATCTATCTCCAACAGACTTCAGTGCAAGCTGTTCCAAGCCTTCGACAGAAACCACGACTTCCGACTTATCAGATGCTAATGCCCCGACAAGAACACGCTCGGGTCCTCGAGTTCGCATCAATCCAAAGTATTTGTAAGGTATTGTTAGCACTGGAGGGGGAGAACTGTGGCGACCTGCCTACTACAACTCAAAGCTGCCAGTCTGGTAACTCATAGCAACGAAAAGCAAAATAATGATTATTCTATTGTTAATATAGATTCGAAGAAGATTGATATGATTAATGATCTGTTTTTGTTATTATAATTGCTTGTCCAGCTACGCTTTATTTATTATTGTTCAAAACGGCTTATTATACAAATAAAATTAAGCACAGTTCCTGTCTGGACAAGCCTATTCGTTACTTTAATTCCAGTAACAAATACGGAAACCGAATTACGTAATGCAAACCTGATTTATACTAAGTTGTAAAAGTTCAGCCAAATAAATCTTTGATGGATATCAAGTATAGATTTCTATTAAGCCCAGAGTTCCAGGTGGTCGCCTTACAGCCAGCATCTCTATATCCGGCTGTCTAGGTATTTGGATCAATCTTTAGAAAGTAGCACAATAAAAATCCATAACCATTATTATTTCTGGACTCAACATCTGATATAATCTCTAAAAATTGAAATGACGCAGATTAATGTAACATATTTTCACAAATAATTCTTCTGTCACATAACTTTACCCATAAAATTATCCTTCAAAGTAACCATGAAATAATACTGTTCTTATAATTATAACAGTAATCTCTCGTTATCTGCGCTCAAGAAAAACTTAAATAAAATAAGGAAAATAGCGTTAAAATCTTTAATAAATAGCTAAAATCCCCCGAAACAAAAATTTTGTGGAATTTATTGTTGTGCCCACTTCTATTGCCCCATTTTATTATCGTATTTTTATTGCTCGCTCTTGTGTTTGTTTACTCTTCGATTTTTCGTCATCACTGATCATAAACCACGGTGTAACAAATAAATTTGCAAAATACGCTATAAGGTATTTCTCCCGCCTTCCTAGCGTGCCTTCATGGTGTAGCACACTGAGCCCAGTATTTCAGAGATCCGTGGTTCGATTCCCGGCGAAGGCAATTGCTAATTTTCCTCTCTCCGGCTTTTGCAATTAATCCTAATGTCTCTACAGTGGCGCCCGAACTAAAGGGTTTGGGATGATGACTCTCCACACCCAGGATTTGGCGATTAAGTTCCCTAAAAACCCCAGTCGCCCTTTAAAAGGGGAAGTATATAAGGTATTTCTCCCGCCTTCCTAGCGTGCCTTCGTGGTGTAGTGGTCAGCACACTGAGCCGGTATTTCAGAGGTCAGTGGTTTGATTTCCGGCAAAGGCAGTTGCTAATTTTTCATATCTCCTGCTTTTGCAATTAATCTTAATGTCTCTACAACGCTTTCCTCCCAAAATATATCATTAATGTGCTGGCTAGAGGCTACATCATATCAGATGCCATTTTGTAAAGGCTAAGTTACATATCCACTACTCCTTCATATCTTCCACTCATTATATATCATGCACGAATCTTGATCACAGTTCTAGGTCAATTCTGCATAACTTCGCAAAGCATTGGAATCGGTACTGCGATTAAATAAAAGTGCCTTTTATTTCCTGAAATAGTTTTTTAAGTCTGACAATGAGTGCTATCTGTTCTGTTGGCCCTAGAGGCGTGTTTTGGCAATCAATGGTTATTTTCCGCCAGGTTGCGACAGATTCTATATGGTTTACCACCGAAGCCAGACGCCATCTCGATAGTGTTACTGGTCTTCGCGTGTTTCTTTACACATGGCAGAATTCTGATATTATTATGACCAAGGGAAGAAATTTAATCCATTTGCAAGATAGCGGCAGTAGGTAGCTTTATGCTGTGGATTCCATAGTAAATAATACAACAAACATAGCAAACGTACAAAACGTAGGAAGGTTTCAAAACATGATTACATGTTACAAATATAGCAGATATGATTTTATGCCACCATCATAAGAAATTTATACAGTTACTCCCTAATTACACATAAACTAGACTGCTAGACGAATTCTTGTCCAGTTTTTAACTTAGAAACCATTAACAGAAGGCGGTGATAACAAACCATAAAGTCAGCTAAAGCATTCATTTGTATTTCGATTTTAAATTAAAAAACTAAAATGTTAACAGAAATTCAACATTCCCTTTTTGTGGACTGATAATGCAGCAGTATTTCAATTATTTACAAAACAAATAATAAATTAGCGATCAAGAACCTGACTTCAATTTTGACGCGCTATCTAATGTAATTAGAAGCAAAGTTAAAACTCACCAATAATCAGCACCACACTACAGCAAGTAGAATCTGAGAGTTAATACTGCCAGCACTCTCTCACCTGCATTATGTTTTCGCTCGTTACTTGTTTATTTATCATTTCTGGTGGAATTGACGAAAAGTAAAAGTGCAGGAAAGAGTTAATGCAAGAAAATAATATGTAAATTAAAACAAACCTTACAAGTCGATACTAGAGGAATTGAAATAGCTTATCACATTTCAGACCAGCAAGAAATCTGTTACCTGATAAAACAGAAGTGGAAACTATTGAGCAAAATTCTGCAATAAAAAGAAACATGCAGAGGTTTACTGGGAATATCTTGGGTGAGTTAACTATTCCCAACCAATGTCCAGTAATTTTTGTCGAGTGTTTAAATAGCATAAGGTCTGGTATGAGGCTTTGATGACGGATGATTTCTTTGCGACTGACGATTGCTAGCCGCTTAAATGTTTTTTCTTCTCTCCGTCTGTCTAAATGTATGCATTGGAAGTCAGCATTTATTATTTTACTGTATCCCAGTAGATTATGCTTATGCCATCCCACTATACAAACAAACGAAAATCTTTTAGAGATGCAATCATCTTTTTGTGGTTAATGACACAATTCTGCAACTTGGCACAGTTTTTCAATGCTTAACATTGCAGTCCAGTATCCATTCCTTATCCTCCATTAAAACTCATAACAGAAATGGTTCATTTCTATAACAAGAAAAGGAAAAAAGCACAAGTACCGATTCTCTTCTGTTCCCCCCCCCTCAAGACACTATGGGAGAACCAACTGATCAAATTTCATGATGAACCCTGATGGCAGCATCCGTCTCTCAGCTGTTGTTGTGTGTATCAACATCGTTTCTGCTAATGTGTGAACGGCTGGAGGCTGTTCATTTTACATAGTTCGGTACAGAATTTCATCAGAAACCATCAATGAATATCGAGAATGTAACATACCATCTAGCCCAGAATAGCAGCGACATGTGCTATCACCAACTACATCTTTTTCATACACTTACCAAATGTTCTAGGCAGGCTGCGGTTGTAATATTACCTTTATGAAACTCTTATGGTAAACAAATACTTGAGGTCCTCTTTATAGCTTGCCATTTAAATTCTTAACTCGTTAGTTACTCTGATAAGTTCTGTGTTTTTATATGTTCTATTTCCCCACTTTTTCCAGTCATTCAGTGTCGTTTGTTTACGTAAATCATCCGATTACGATTCGCATCTGAAAAACAAGTAAAGCTTTTGCCCCAGTTTTTATTAATATTTTATTAAAATAATTTTTATCGTTAAACCCAATTAATATTCTTAATTAAACTTTTCGTTACAATCATTTTAACTGCAATTATTCTATATATATATTTATTCTGTATTATTTCACCAAATCCTTATTTTGTATGTCCGCATAATCTGAAGAATAATATAAAAACCTCACCTCAAGGATAACGAAGGATTATTGTACTATTTTTTTTACAAAATGAAAGGAATCATCTAGAATATATTTTAGAAAAATAACTTACGATGTATATGTGCTGCAATCGTAGAACGTAAAGTTTGTGGCAACAAAATCGGGACCCTTTTTCATCCTCACAGATAATTTCGCCGTAAAATGATCTGAAAATAAATAATTCAATTTTTTTTTTCTTTTGGTGAGAAATGATTATACAAATTTAAAAGTAAGAGAAAGCTGAATTCCGTTACAGCAAGCAAAAACTACTGTTAATAATATTAAAATTATTAAAAGTTATTACTATAAAATATTATTAAATTTCCTTGAGTAATATGCATATTTGTAATCTTATTAACAAAGTAAAACATTTAAAACTAATAGCAGCTACATGTTGCACTACCAAATGCAGTTCATTTCCTCCTTCCGGAAAAAAAAAAAATCTGGCAAATGGTAAATTAACGAAATTTCTTAAATGTTGGTAAAAGTAAAGCAAAAACTTTTCAATCAATTCTGTGTCTAAGTATTAAATGCAAAAATTACACTAAATCATAAAAATTATAGGTACTTTTTAACTACTTACGTTGAGCGGGTGGTATTGCTGGAAGAGAATCTGTGTGAGGAGTAGCACAACTGACTCCATTAGCTAGGCGTGAAGCATTTGAGACAAGTGACTTTCCGAGAGCAGTGAAAGCACAATAAAACTGCCCTTCCAGAACTGGCAAATTATCGATTACTAAATTGAGCTACAAATATTAAAAAAAAATAATAATAATAATAATAATTGCAAAAGTATACATGGCATTCATTTTAGTGAAAGAATAACAGAATGAAATCATTAAATACAATACATTAAATTAATTTTCTGTCATTTATAGACATCAATAAATTGCATTAATCAAATAAATAAAATAAATAAATAATTTACCCCCTTAAACAAACATAGCTACACTTCACTTAAACCCTCCCCGACTCAGAGCATTCTGTTAATCTAATGGGAGAAAGCAAAAATTTTTAAATATTGGAATTCACGCTAAACCATCTTCAACCACCTTAAGGTTGCGTCCACTCGACTACGCTACCGATGTAAATCACACAACGAAACGTACGTTGCCGGCGAAAAGGCGTCCAAACGGAGACGCGAGCAAAGTCTACGTTTAGCCAAAATAGAATTACTGAAGAGAAAAAAATGTGACATTCATAGAAGGCTCAAAGTGTAAGTGTTTCATCTCCTGTTTCGTAATCTGGTCAGAAGAATATCACAGTCTGTTAGTTTTATTGTGATATTTTGTTTAATAGTTATAATTAATAGTTATACGCACAAATCTGTTTTTATGCAAATTAAGATTTATAAAATTGTTTTGGAATTTTTTTTTTTATAAAGAGAATTAAATTACTTGAAACATCATCCACCATATAATAAAATCAACTTCATATTTTTTAATAGTTTTTCCTCCCCCTCCCTTGGCTTGCTTGTTTATGTGTGGTATGGGAATATGTGTAAAGGAATCTGTGTAATAAGTTAAGTGTTCTATAATTGGATTATTCTTATGATTAATTAAATTAGAAAAAAATAGTTCATCCAAAAAATTTATTTATTGCAAATTTAATGGACTATAGAGAAAATTATATTCACATCAAAGGATTAAAATGAAGTAATTTTTTCGTTTAACAAAGTAAATATGCCTTTTTATGCAAAAAATGTAAAATATTACATTTTGATTTTCAGTGCCCCTATGTGATTGCTCATTTCTATAAATTGAAAGGCCATCAATTTCTGTATTATTTTTTAAATAATATTTCTGAATTAATATGCTTGTAATTAAAGTAAAACACAACTTCCCTAAAATATTTATGCCATATGAATATCAGATAACGAATAATAGCTTTCATTTGCATTTATTCTATTAAAAGTTTTCTTAGCAAAGGTGTCAATAGTTCTTTAGATATTTTTCTCTTCAGTAAATATACAAGATATTCAGGGGATGATTGAAATATTTAAGTAATATTAAAATTATCTGGTAATTCTAGTAATAATACTTATTCGAAACATTCATTGATTAAATTCATCACTTGTCTTATCCAAACGTGTTTTTTATTGTTTCTCATTGACATTAAATATCTTCGCATGCTCAAAACAGAATATTTATTACCTGCTGGAAGTTGATTGATTGCTTTGATGATGCCAAATTAATATGTAAATCATTTTATTATTAGTGTATATTTTTAGCCCAAATGGGCGTTAGCCCAGAACGGCTATTAGTCTCAAAACGGCATTTTGCGTCGAATCACTTTTCAAATTGCTGCCACCAAATATTATCGCCGTGTATTATATTTAAAAAAAAAAAAAAAAAAAAAAAAAAAAAAAAACTAAATAATGAAGAATTTACGCGAATGTATAGGGTTTGTCCGAAAAGTAGTAAAACTGTTTTTTTTTTTTTTTTTTAAATTTTTTTTTTAATTTCACAGTTTTGACACATCGACTTAGTAGCTTTCAAAATATGCATCTTCTGCACAAACACAGCGTTTTCAACGACTCTGCCAATCACTAAAGGCTCCCTGGAACGCAGAAACTGGAATGCTCTTCAGCTCCCTCTTTGCGGCCTCTTGAATGGCCTGGACCATGGTGCTGTCCTTTCACGATCCTTTTCAGTCGGGGAAAGAAGAAGAAATCTGAAGGAGCTAAATCTGGGGCAGCTGGGGAGCCTGTGTGATGCCATGTCTGGTCAGGAAGTACATGACAGCAAAGGCGGTGTGTCTCGGCATATTGTCATGATGGAGCCTCCATTATTCAGCAATTGCTGGACGGACGGAGGTGACTCACTTTCTTTCAAGTACATCTATAGCCCAGATGTCACTCTTTCAGACTTCTTCCTGTTCCCCTGAGTGAAAAGGGTCATGAAAGGATGGCACCACGGCTCGGTCCAGGCCGTTCAAAAGGCCGTAACGAAAAAGCTGAAAAGCATTCCAATTTTTGCGTTCCAGAGAGCATTCAGTTTTAGGCAGAGTCGCTGGAAACGCTGTGTTTGTGCAGAAAGGGCATATTTTGAAAACTATTATGTCGATGTGCCAAAACTGTGAATAACTTAGTGAGCAGGGTAGTTCCAAGGAGCAAATAATGAAGAATCTACATGAATGTACAGGGTTTGTCCGGAAAGTAGTAGGACTGAATACAATAAAATTTATGGATCCTAGAACAAAATTTATGGTCAAGATTTAAAATCATCTTCATACTTCCACTTAGATACCATATCGAATTTTTGAAATTAAACAAAATGTAAATGCCAAAAGAGAAGAGGATGAACGCTTGCAACTCTGCTGATTGAGTGAAATGATCTCAACTTGGCTAGCAGGCAGCTCCAGACAGGTGTCAGATGCACGCACAGCAGGTCTCCTTTAAAGAGTGCGCTGCTATTACAATACGGCCAACGCTCTACAGCATATTGCGTACGAATATCGCGTTTAAACTTAATATATATAATTTCGTTTTTCAATTGGAATGCTGCACTTTACTACAAGCCTTGAAATGGATTTAAAAAAAAATTAAAGTGCAGAACCGAAAGAGATATTCATTCTGATTGTCTATCATTCGTTATGTTACTGGCTGCTCCTATTACAGAAAATTATCCGGTTTTAAATATTAAAGATATTTTGAAATCCCTGCAGAAAGATTTTTGTATTAGAATTCACTGGGTCAAATCACATATAGGATGGTTTGGTAATGAGCAGGCGGACAGACTAGCTAAAGATGCCGCTTTAGGCGAGGATGTTCCATTTTTTGAAACTTCGGGTTCAAAAAGTTTTGCAATTAGATGCATGAAATCTTACTATTCTACTCAATGGAGAGAGTAGTGGGAACAGTCTGACCGAAATCAAGGTTTTATTCGAAATATTAAAATTTCCTTGAAAATGAATATATACAATGATATTGACTCAAATCTAATTTGTTACTGGACATGGCCTGCTTATCTTAAAAGATTTGGTATTCAGGAAAATCCTTTATGCAATCCTTGTAAAATTTATGTCGACTCTGAACATTATTTGTATGATTGTAAATTGTTTGAATCAATTCGTCCTGCGGATTTAAAGCGTAATGTAGATATGGTGGATCTTATGAAACTTAAGAGGATTGACAGAGTATTTATGAATTATTTAAATTCTGATAGAAATAGCTGTGGTACTGAGATCTGAAGCTGTTCTGATCTTTTGTTTTTATTTAAAGTTGTGTGATTGATCTTATGTTTGTATAATATATAATATTGAAAATTGTAGATAAAATAGGAATATGTTTTGATAGTATTATAAAATAAGGTTTGTAAATAAGTTATTTTGGTTGAATATTATGTGTTTTGTATGTTTTATTGTAATTGAAATTGTGTTGTTTTGATTTTAAGATTTTAAACTTTTTTATGTAATTTTGATTTTAAAACTGTTTAAAACGGGTGGCGTGTTGATCATTGATAGATCTTATTGGTTTAATGTGAAGTTTACCAGAAAAAAAAATTATATCTAATGCTTTGTATTTCTTCTGCTCGCCAATCAGGCAATGACAAAGGGGGCCGGGACGTCCTCCAATCCAATCGCTATGAATGGACGATTAATTGGAAACAAGATAACGGGAACGTGCAAAACCACGCTCCGAAAACCATCGCAAGGCCAGGTTTACTGTGTAAATTAGTCTTCTCTAAGCCATTTGGAGCCGCAATCTAAAGCATGGTGATTAGTTAGTTTTGTTGCTAACCTTCCCCCTGATAGTGGCAATAAAATGCATGTATTTGTTCATGTTTTCCCCAAACAGTGCGAAGAGCTTATAAATTCTCTAGATGCACTCACGTAGAGAAGTATGTAGTACGCACTCTCTAGATGCACTCACACTCTAGAGCACAGATTTTTATAAAATTAGTTGGTCCTCTTCAAATTTATTTAAGAGTGTATGTAAATTTCCGATTTTTGGCAGGATATCTGGCAACGGATACCAAAAGAAGCCTAGGAGTGGAGAAGATGCTAGTGAACACAACCTCATGCCAATCTGGAAGTACTTTGAACTCTGTAACACGAGGGGTAATGTGTGTTCTCAGGGGGGGGAACCCTCGTTTATTTTTATTTTTTTCCAATTTAAACGACAAAATATGATTTTCTTCATTCCAACTGAGAGTAGCCCTAAACAATTCTTCAGGCAGGAGGGGGGGGGGAAGTGCTGAATGAAAGTATAACTTAATCTAAGTGCAAAAAAGGCAAGCATAATATAAATTCATTTGAAATTAAAAAAAATAACAATATAGCAGAAGTGAATGTTAAAAATGCACGGATATCCAAATATTCTTACAATTCTGGCAGTTGTTCTCTGAATTTGAGGTGGATGGACGCTAGTTATGGTTGTGCACTTCCCACTTTTATAAGATAACCAGTAGAGAGGATCTTGGGCAGCTTCGGCGCAGTCACTTCTAAGGCTACATCTAAAGCAAACAAAAAATTTTCCGTCAAAAATAAGAACAATTAGAGAAAAAATGGATTTTAAAATTTGAATTATTCATATGAAGTTGTAGTAAGAAAACCTTAAATTTAATTACTATAATTTTAATAATTGTAAGCAGGAAAAAAATAATAGAGTTGATTACTAATGATAGAGTTGATAATTACTAATGATAAAGTTGATTACGGTGGTGAGAAAGCAATTTAAGTGATACTATAAAATCTTCTTTTTCATTAATTAATTAAATAAGATAATGCAATTATCTTACTTAATGAATCCATTATTAGTATTTATTTGTCCAATATGAGGCAAACAAGATACAATATATGTAATTGATTAATTAAATATGCCAATAACATAAAAGTCGCTTAAGTTCCATTTTTTTTGCAGCCTATTTGATTTCATTACGAAGCTTTATCAAGAAGCATAGCAACAAAATGTAAACTTGTGCTGTATAAGGCAGTTACAATTCCTTTTGTGCATTCCACTAATGTGAGACCATTTTATAAAATAAAAATGATTACAAAATTCAAAATTTTGGATAAAAACAGTACAGCTTACCGGTACTATGCCAAACAGTCACAAAAATTTTGCTTTAGGAGCGTTTAGTACATATTATTGATACTGAATGATTAGAAGATTACTGAATATTGTGTTGTCGCAAATTAAAAAATTGAAATAATATTTTTGAAATTCATAAAACATTATTTCAAAAAATTAAAAACTTTTAATGTATCAAAGAATTTGGATCGGCAAATCAAATTTTCTCCACAAACGGTAGCTGCCGGAATTAGAAGATTAAAAATTCTAAGGAAAGAAAAAAATGACAATATTTTTTAAACAAAATCAACTTGTTAAGCCTTTATGATCAAGCTCTCAGAACATATCAGAAATTACGATGACACTAGAAATGTAATCAACAGCATCCATCCTTACTTGAAGAACTGCATTTGTTTCTGCAGCATGAAATACCAAAGTCAGTATGAACTTGAAATTAACTTATCACACCCTTTTTAATCAATGGTATTTGTTGCTTAATTCAACAATTTTCTGCACTATCATCGTTGTTATTGCAAATGGTCGTATACGGAGAGTGATTCAGAACATATACATATATATATATATATATACAGGGTTGGACAAAAATATGGAAACACCTTTAAAAAAACATGTTTCTTTGCTTAATATGGTGTAGGAACCCGTTGGTATTCAAAACAGCTTGCAGTCTTCTCGGAATGGATAAATACAGTTCCTGTATGTTTGCCAAGGGAATATTAGACCATTCTTCCTGCAAAATGGTGGCAAGTTCAGATAACGATGTTGGCGGTGGATAACGAGAACGCACTTTCCGTTCCAATGTAGACCACAAAGGTTCGATAATATTCAGGTCTGGTGACTGTGGTGGCCAGGGGAGATGGGACAACTCATCCTCGTGCTCAGAAAACCAGTCCTGGACAGTGTGAGCTGTGTGAACAGGGGCTTTGTCGTCTTGGAAGACACCATCACCATCGGGGAACAAAGTTCGTACCATGGGATGAACTTGATCGGCCAAAATGTTCACATAAGTCTTGGCAGTCATGTGCCCTGACACAGTTATCATGGGGCTAGCAGAGAACCACGATATGGCTGCCCAAACCATAACAGAGCCCCCGCCATGTTTCACTCTTGGCAACAAGCAGTCTGTATTATAGGCTTGAGATGGCGTTCTCCAGACGTAAACTCGGCCAGAAGTGGGAAACAATGTGAAAGAAGACTCGTCACTGCTCTATAGTCCAGGCTTTATGACTTAAACACCACCTTTTCCTGTTACGGGCATTAGCATCACTGATGAGTGGCTTCTCAATTGCAGCACGGCCAGCAATTCCCTGTTTATGAAGCTCCCTTCTAATTGTTTTGGTACTCACAGGGTTCGGTAACACAACATTCATTTCAGCAGTAACTTTTTGCAGCTGTGGTCTTCTTATTTTTCGTCACAATTGCCCTTAATGATCGTCTGTCAAGATCACTCAGGACACCACTTTCGTCCGCGCTGTGATTTAGCAGATGATGTTTTTTCCGCTTTTCAAATATGCGGAATAAAATCTTCGATACAGTACCTCTTGAAACACTAAACACCTCGGCTGCCTTGCTTACGGAAGCACCTACCATACGTGCTCCAACCATTTGCCCACGTTTCGAAGTCTGTTAACTCTGACAAAATGCAATGACAACCTCACATAACAGTACTCCGACAACAACTGAACTGTTTAGCACATTTACGAAGTTGTATAGGTGGCGTCAGTAGTCAAAAACGCCAGCGCCACCTACATATTTCATTAAAATCAATCTTTCTTTTCAAACATGCATTTCACAAGGTGTTTCCATATTTTTGTCCATCCACTGTATATATATATTGGAATGTATAAGCGCAAACGACGTCCTGACACACAAACAAGACATGAAAGGAAACATAAATATTTTACTCATAACATAGCTGACAATTGTTTCTTTACAGCAACGTCTGTAATAATTGCTCAAAATTGCAGCAACTAAGAGTAATACAGTGACACGGGAGTGATTGGTGTGTGATGCCAAAGATGCCAGACACTTCTGACACCGTGCAGCTGACACGGATATTCGAACGACGTCCTCAACAGTCAACTGGATTCTCATAAATGAGGGGCTTTCAGATAAGACCATGAGAAGAAATCACACAGTTCATATTTATAGTTTTATAAAGTTCGATAAATCGAGTGATCGGAGAAGCCAACGGACTACTCCAGCATGTCCAGTCTGTCGCGTCCCAAAAAGTGAAATCCAATAATCCACACATCACTGCTGAAATGGGTTGGCGCTTCATCATACTGAAACCACTGTAGATTACAGAAAGCAATCAGAACATCTTGAAGCAATTCTGATTAATCCTCTTCCAGAAAAATACGATAACATATACCATGGAATCATGCCAGCTGATGGATACAGGACAATCAGGAAGTCGACCACAATAGCCATATATACATTCATAAAGAATCGTTTTTTGAACTATCTTGGAATTAGAATGAATGTTGAAGTGTATTGTGTGGATTTCAGATTGCCCACAGATGACAATTCTGAATATAGAAAACATTCTAAAGTGTGTGTGTGTGGGGGGGAGACATCATACGTGAATAACAGAAAAGTTCACAAGTTCGGCTACTGTGCATTCTGCTGTTAAAAACCACTGACATTATCCCACGCGGAAATCGTCCGTTTTCAAAGCTTGAGATATCTAAAAATGGAATGAGAGAAATCGTTCGCAAATTATCACTTTCTAAACGGTAGGTTAACTCCCACCTACGCGACACGCATTATTTCTAGTTCTTCCGTCGGGTCTGTCTTTATAAAGTTCAGGACAAATTTATTCGCATATGGACGTCGTACACTTCTCGGTCGATGCGTTTCTTGACTATTGACGCCGAAGGAACTAGTCTCACAAAGTTCAATGTAACTACACTCATGTCCATAAATTAAGGATAATTCGGAGTCACGCGGAAATCGAACTCTAAAATAAATATATCACCTGTAAAATCACTACACACATCTTCAAGAATCATATGCAAATTTCAGGAAGTAACCAGATGACACCGATGGTACGTCACAATGACAAGAGTGTAAGAGAGTGATATATAAGGAATACAGGCAAAGAAGTAAAATTGTTCGCAGGCGCTTTATAAGCATTTCAGTGCAATAACCGAATAGTTATGACACAAAGGACGCATTTGGATGATTTTTTACGTGGTAGAATTATCGGCCGTCTGGAATGTGGGCGTACCCAACTGGAAGCATCAGATGAACTTGGAATTGCCCAGAGTGTCATCTCCAGGTTTTGGCAACGATTCCAAGATGATGGTAATGTGAGTAGACGTTACAGCACAGGTCGCCCCAGAGTTACAACGCCGAATGAGGACTAGTATTTGGCAGTCACTGCCAAAAGAAACAGGCGGAGCACACCCTCAGACCTGTCTCGTCAGCTCTCTTGAGCCACTGGTACGACAATTTCAAGGCAGACCGTGTACAGACGCTTAGGGCAGATTGGTCTATATGCTCGTAGACCTATCAGATGCGTTCCACTTACTGCAACTCACTGTCGCCTGCGGTTAGCCTGGAGTAGAGAGCATGCATTGTGGACACCGCAACAGCGGGCTTGTGTGATGTTTTCCGACGAGTCCAGGTTTAGCTTGCAGTCAGATTCTCGCCGGACTTTCATATGGAGAGCTCCAGGTACCCGTTACCACCAAGAAAACATCATTGAACGACACCGTTACGGTGGTGCAGGAGTGCTCGTTTGGGGTGGAATTATTCTGGGTTTCAGAACTGACCTGCATGTTCAAATTGGAACCATGACAAGCCAAATCTATCGGGACGTCATTCTGGAACAACATGTACGTTTGTTTCGGGGCGACATGGGCGCACAATTTGTGTTTATGGATGACAACGCCCGTCCTCAACATTTGCAAACATCGTAAGCGAATGCATTCAATCGGAGGATATCACCCGTATGGACTGGCCAGCATCCTCACCGGACTTGAATCCAGTAGAGCACGTGTGGGATATGCTTGGCCGACGAGTTGCAGCCCGTCAACCTCCTCCTACATGTCTACCAGAACTTCGGAGAGCATTGTTTTTTGAGTGGTGTAATATCAACCCAAGAACAGATCGATAATTTGATACTCAGCATGCCTAGGCGTTGTACGGACTGTATTGCATGGTCTGAGAGACATACAATGTATTAACAATCATACCAACAATGTAATATTGGATTTTTGTAAATAGGTTTTTTTGCAATTTGCTCCAGGGAGAAAAAAATCGCTAATTTTTTTAATAATATCAAACATATAGCATCTTTTTTTGCTGTTTACCTTTTGTTTAATAAATAAGCTTTACAAATAAGTCGAATTTGTTTTGCTTCTAACTCTCCTTTGCCTGATTTTGCATTATCCTTAATTTATGGACATGAGTGTAAGATCAAGCATATAGTGGTCTGGCATTCGTCTATTACGAAAGTCTTCTCGATACACCCGTAGCATTATTTTTCCGTTACCATTTACAACCCCGGAACATTAGATGCACTCTGCTTCTCGCTACTCTCAAGGTCTTCCACCACAAGCGACAGCACAGATGCAAATGGCATGCTCCCGCAAACGCATAAATACAGACGCGCAGCAAGACATCCATTGCCCTCTACCGTCAACAGTACAAGCCAGTCATTCCATAAAAAGTGGCTAAGAATGTACTATTAACGTTAATTTTGAACCATTCTCTATAAAAGCAACTTTTCAGGAAACGTAAGAAAGAGAAAAGGATTCAGCTGAGACACTTGTACCAATTCATACCCCATGCTTCCGTTGGTGCTATAAAGTACAATGATTCAGGGTAGGGCAAACATCGTTATTTTCTAGAAAAATAAAGTCTTAATTTTAAAATGGGCATTTTGGCACATGACCTATTGCTATAGCAGCATCGATATATTACTAGTTAAATGAATTTAGCTTCAAATCGTTAGAGACAACAAAATCTCATACATTTATCGGTAGTATTAAGTTTTTTCCCTCACCCTCACAACTACATTCTTCCATCCGTAGAAAATTGATTTATACGACATATCTACTAAACGAAAAATCTTACCATAGAAAAAAATTCACACATTCAGGTCCATAGAACACTGAGACGCCTTGTTGAAGACAGATAATTGTATTACGATTATTTAGAAAGATTGTTTCTATTTATTCCAAGCACAGAAATTGAAAACGACTATTTTTTAAACAAAGTTTTAGAGGAATTTAGAAAATTTTACTACTGTTCTAATATGAAGAATAGTCTTACCTCAATGCAACATGAAAATACACTAAGAGTTCAAATAAAATTTATTTTCAAATATAAATCTTGCAGAAATTAAAGCAAAATTTTATTTTCTAAGATAAAATCATGCAAGAAATAGAAAAAGGAATCTGACTTACTTGTTTTCAAGTGAACACCAACCACAGTAAGGATCCTGGGCATCTAAGCAATCACTGCAAGTTTTGTAGACCAGACACTCTTGCACTTTGACCATCGTCACCTAGAAGTACCAAAACGATTATGAAGCCAAAGGGGGATATTTAATTTGAATTTACGATATACAAGTTATTTTTCAGAAGTGACTGTCAAAATGCATGAGGTCAAGGCCAGATTATAAATAAATGAAAAACGCTATCATGCAGCCTAATGGAAAAATATAAATTACCTGGGATTTTTTTTTAACTTGATGAAATAAAAATTGTCTTTACTTTCACTACAGAGTTCATCTTCATTTAATTACATGCATATAAAGTGACGCAATGATATAAATTGTCTGAGCATATTTTCTTCTCGCCATTCAAGAAAAAGTTTTTAAACTCCGTGAAAAGCTTTAACTGCTATAGAAATTAATGGAACCTACTGCCTAAAAAATGAGTCAAAATCACTGCTCATCATTAACATTTGGATTATTTTAAATTTTGGAAGAACACAGGCATATTACAGGTATACAGTACAGAAATTTTCTGGATAATTAACCTAAATATGGAATGTTGTCTGAGAAATCACGTATTTTACAACAATGTATAATGTTTCACTAATTAAGAAGAAAATAGTGCTTTTCTTTGATATAATAATTCTGTAATGCAAAATATATACTATGCTAGAATATTACAAATATTTAGCTTTTTGATATAATTATTAACTCTACACATTGAATCCATGATGTTTAAGAGCAGAAATTTTAAATTTTAAAATAAGCAAAGATTTCTGATTTATTAGATTAGTGGGCAACACAAATTATTATTAAATAGTTTCTATTGATATTCAATAGAAATTTTTTTTTAAAAAGAAAAAAAAGAAATGAGTATTCCCAGGTTCAACACTTATGACGTATCGTCAAGCTACAAAAGAATGCACTTAAATATGAAATACAAAATGTCACCTAGGTAATGAAAATAAAACAGTTTCTACATAACGGAAGAGGACGGAGAATAAAGATCCAACATCATAACAATTGAAATAATTTAAAATTCATATTATTTTAGTTCACATTTAGGTAACATGTATATAACATAGGTTCAATTGATTATAATTCAATTATACAACGGTAATAAGCTTATTTTATGTAAATAAGTAATTATATGCTTTAAACACGTTAAGTTTTTTGTCTCTTATACTGTTCACAAAAATGAGGGGGTGAGAGTATGTATATGACCAGAAATACACATGTTTAATGTTTTGCTATGAAGAAAACAGCTTGCTTTCCGGGTGAGAATTTTATTTAAATTTGAAAAGGAAGTGTGTCCTCTTTTTTTTTACATATACAGGTAGCCCTTCTACAACACGGCATCTTTTACACGGTTTTGCTATAACACGGCCCATAAATTGCGGGAAACCTCCTATAACATGCCATCCTATAACATGGTTTCGCTCTAACACGTTAAGAAAATTGCCCAAGAAATCCCAAGAACTTAAACGAACTCTGCACGAAGTTTTTCACATTGATTAAAGCACCCACGTAGTCATTTAGCACATAAGAATCCTTGTTTAGTAAGTCCTGCTAGTTGTCTTCCAAGATCAGGTTCCCGTAAGAACAAATGTTCTCAGGTAGATCAGCCACGTGGTAGAGAGCAACCGTTGAATTCTTAACCGGCAACGGAGGAAAATCGTTTCCTTCCCAGTAAAATGGTACAACAGAAACAATATCCAGTCTCAAAGAGAGTACAATTAATAGATAACAATGAGGAAACCTCACTATCGCAGAAGGTGAACAACACGAGGTAACAATAAGAGCTCCAAAACGCACAACCTGCATGTTCGCTTTCGAAAATTCGAATCCTCATCTCCGTGGCCTGAAAATAAAAGTGTTTCACGCAGTGGTCGGCAGTCTGCGTCAACCTACGGTGAATAAAGAATAACTTTTTAATCTTTAAGATCTTGGATCGTTTTTTTTTAAAGGAAGAAAAACATCTCACATTGGAAGAAGTTTTAATTTGAATGCAGCAATAGTCCGGACTATTAAAAAAAATGAAAAAGAAATAAGATGTGCAGTTGCTGCAGCATCTTCGACATCCGCAAAACGAGCAACTCGCTCCCCGGGTGCCAATAATTGATAAGATAGAAAAGGCACTTAGCATTTGGATTGATGATAGCTGTCAAAAAAAGGATTTCGTTGGATGGCAACATTTTTAAACAAAAAGCACTCAAAATTTACAAGCACCTTAAAGAACATGGAGAATCCTCTGTTAACTCATTTGTGGCAAGTAATGCCTGGTTCGAAAATTTCAAAAAACATTTCATAGTATAAGAATTCAAGTCGGCTGATCATGAAACTGCTAAGACGTATCCAGGGAAAAAAAAAAAAAAAAAAGAAAAAAAAAAACACTATAGAAGAGCAAAGATAACAGCAAAGGAAGTTTTCAATGCTGATGAAACTGGGTTTTGGTGGAAAAAATGGCCAGTAGAAGCTTTATACTGAAACAAGAAAAACCTGCACTGGATTTAAGATGTCTAAAGATCATCGAATGCTACTTTTGAGCAGCAATGATTCGGGGAACTTGATGACAAAACCCTTGCTAGTTTACAGATCTTTAAATCCTCCTGCACTTAAAGATTTAAATAAAAACACCTTACCGATATACTGGAAAGCATATCCAAGAGCTTGGGTAACTAGAAATTTATTTAAAGATTGGTTTTTAAATTGTTTTGTGTCAGACGTTGAACATTATTTAAGGCAGAAAAATCTGAGTTTCAAGGCGCTATTACCCTTAGATAATGCTCCATGTCACCTACACGATTTGAATCATTCCAACGTCAAAATACTGTTACCACCTAACTCTATTTCATTGCTCTAACCATTGGATCAAGGTATTATTTATACCATTAAAACGTATTACATAAGAAGAGCATTACAATGGATTTTAGACGTAACAGATTCAAAATCATTTAATGTAATGGAAGCTTGGAAGAAATTTTCAGTCACGCACTGTATCGCTGAAAGAATTGAAAACATCAACGTTAAATGCGTGTTGGAAGAAGATATGACCCTCTTAAGTTGAAACAGTAAACGTTCATGAATGGTCAGAAAATGAAATTGGTGGTATATTAGAACTTGCTAAATCAATCAGAGACGACGTTTCTATGGATATGGCTTATAGAGGACGTTCAAGATTTATTAGTGGAAGAAGTTAACGAAGCGGATTTGATGGAAATTTGCATCTGAAGCTGTAAATCAAATCGATTCTCAGGGCACTAACACTGATGAAGATTGTGTAATTAATAATTTAAAATAAAAAAATTAAAAGGTTTCAGCTTAGCTGAAAATCTTGAGTCATTTTTCTTGAATGCAGAACCTTCCGCTGAAACAAGCCGAAAATTCAAAAGGGAGCTGCAAAACTGTCTGGCTCCATACCGAGAAATTTACAATGACTTAATAAGATGCTGCAAGATATTATTTAAATGAAGGAAAAAAGTTTTGAAAGCGAAGGTGACATCATTCCACGGAAAAAAAAAAAAAAAATTCGGCTGAATATACTGAGCAGTGATGACGATGAAATTTAAAAATTGAAAGATGCGTTAAATTAAAATATTTTTGTGTGTTGTACATATATTTATATTTTTAATCAAAATTAAGTTGATTATGGATAATTAAAATATTTGTTCTTAATAAGTTTTTGGAACTTAACCCCCCTTTTTGTACTTGCTCTAGTTCTCATACAACACGGTTTCACACAAAACGGCATTTTCTAGGAACCTAGCTACCGTGTTATAGGAGGGTTACCTGTAGTATATATAATACACATAATACCCAAGTTAAAGTGACATAAACGTACAAATATAGATGACACAAGTTAAAAGCATGCAAATAAAAATTGCAGTGATTGCAAGAAGTAATCTGCAAGAAGAATTCTGGGCAAAAGCTATAAGCATCCGAAAAGGCCTATGACAGCTTATGGCTCAAGTACAGTATATGAATCTTCTGATGGGACTTCTTGGAAAATGATAATTAAAACAATGATAGAAACGTTTAAAGATTCAGAAGTAAATTAATTAGTGTCTGTAAGCAATCCCCAATTAGATTAGAGACCATATATCAGATTATCATATTTATGATTTTGGCATTCAAATTCTGCATCACTGCACGGCTGATACGTATAACAAGGTATCAAGTTTTGCTAGTCGTAAATACCATGTGAGACAAGAGTAGGCATTTCAATCCAATAAAAGCAAGCAAAGATAAATTATTGCTTAACGATCAGAAAATAAAAAATCCAAAGACACAATTCTCGTACTGCAAAGTCTATCTTTACCTTAGCGAAGACACATCGAGGTTTACGTAAGTTCTCTTGCAAAACCAATCGTGACAACAACATGCATAATATCTTTCAATGATTCTTTCAAACTACACAGAACGCGACGTTTTCTATTAAATATTTAACAGGAACACAACTGATCGACGAAATAGCAATAGAAAAAATATTGCTGATTTGGGGGTACTGTTAAGATGACACTAAATCCTCATCAAAAAGTTATGAAGTTCAGGTTATTCAGAATTTAAATCAGTTTGATGAAAATACATATGTCCTGTACACTGTTGCTGGCGGTGATGTTTTTGTCATACAGGTTTCAAGATTTCTTTGCTATCAGGCAGAGAAATGCTGAAGTTTTGTAGCTTGTTAGCTGCGGGATAGCTTTGCACTAGTCCATAAAATTTAGTGGATATTAAAACGTTAGTGATTTTCATTTACTTTGAAATTTCAAGATTAAACTGCTTCTTATTTATTAACAAAAAGGACATAAGAATTATTTTCCTTCCAGTCACCAATATGTCTTCATGCATTGCAACAATTCCTCCCCTTCTATTTGCATACTAATCATGGATCTACCCCAATTTTTTTAGTTCCATCTATAAATTCAGCTTTGTCCCGGACCATCTAACCTAAATCTGATTTACTATTACATTCTTCGTTCTTTTACTCTTTTACTGTATTCTATATATTTCCTAATTTATGATATAAAGAAAATAATGGAACCCTGTTTTCATGAATAAGATTAACTTAC